CCTTCCAGTCCCGGCGCCGCGGGTCGCGGGGGCCTTACGATTCCTTTGCAGCCTGGCGTCGCGTGCCTGGAACCCACAACGCAACGGGACGGGTTGCCTTATCCAAGCCCGCCTTCGGAGCTTTGCCTCGGGTTTCCTTTTGTCTAGAGCACTTTTCCCCCCAGTCCCCTAAACGGAAAACAAACAAAACCTCACTAGGACTCTTAGAGACCCTGTGGGTTTCCGAGACTGTAACTTTTTTTTTTTTAATCATTTGATTCGGGGCTCCTACAACTCTTAGCACAATCCATCCAGACATCCATTGTGTCAAGCACATTTGTACATTTGTTGCCCTCATCATTCTCAAAACCTTTGCTTTCTACTTGAGCCCTTGGAGATTAATTCGTGAGAGAGTGGAAAGTCTCATCTTTCTCTCAAGGAGACCCCTGGTGGTTTCAAACCGCTGACCTTGGGTTTAGGAGCCCTACAAGCCCTACAAAGCCACCAAGTCACCTAGTGATGCTGGAACAGAGATACCACATTGGTAGCTCTCAATAACTTAACTTTCACAGTTCTGGAGGCTAAATGTCCAAATCGGGCTCAGCCATCCCAATCCTTTCCTTATAGACACTCCTGGACCTTCCTTGGCTTCTTGGTTCCTTAAATGATTGTCACCTACCGCCCCATATAAGGCATCTGTGTATCTAATCTTTTTATAACCCAGAAGTGATTCGATTTTGAGCCCACTTTACTGGAGTATAACAGGAAGGAAAAACTCACTGTCATTGACTCACAGTGACCCTACAGGACAGAGAGAGCCATTCCTGTGCGTTTCCACAACTGCCCATCTTTAAAGGAATAGAAAGCCTCCTCTTTCTCCCGCAGAGTAGCTGGTAGTTTTGAACTGCTGACCTCTCAGCAGCCCAACTCGTAACCCACTACACTGCTAGGGTTCTACGATAGAGGAGTTAGGCTTCCAACTCATATTTGGGGTGACACAATTTAACTCCTAACACCCAGATATCCCCATGGTCTATTCTTTCACCTCAGTCCTGGTTAAATGTCACCCACCTAAGCATCCTGCCTAAATAGAACCGACCCCTGACTTCTTGAATCCTAATCCTCCTGACCCAAATTAACCTCTCTCTCTCTCTCTCTCTCTTTTCTCTCTTTCTCTCTCTCTCTCTCTCTCCCTGCCATAGCACTTTTCACTTCAACCGCACTGCACACGTTAATTATTTCTTTTTCTCCAGGCAGGAGCCCTGGTGGCATAGTGGTGACAGGCCGGGCTGCAATCCTCAAGGTCAGCGGTGCAAAACCACCAGCTGCTCTGGGGGAGAAAGATGGGGCTTTCTACTCCTGTGAAGAGTCTTGGGAACTTACAGGGACACTTCTACCCGGTCCTATAGGGCCACTATGAGTCGACATCAACTCAGGGGCCGGGCGTCGTTTGGGCCTCTCCTCAAAGGTGGGTTTCTGCTGGGCTGCTCACCTGCAACTTGGTGACTGGAACACGGGAGGAAGATGAGACGGTCTGATTCCACTGAAACAAATCTCAGAAACTCTATGAAGTCGTTCTACTCTGTCTTACAGAGTCGCTGTGAGTCAGACTCACCAGGAAGGCAGTGGGCAGCCTTGCATCTGAGTGTAAGGTCTACAAGATCAGGGATCTTGGGTTAGCCGATGCTTCCTAAGTGC